GAGATGTTTGAATAATCTTTGTACTTTTTTTGTCTATACAACAACATTTCATAGTGCTCACTGCTTACAAGCTCCAAAAAGGACAAAAAAGGTTACACTCTTTTTTCAGTACATGTACTTACAGTGTACTTACCCAAGAAAGTACTGGTAGTACAAGGTAACTACCTGGGTTAAAGTTAGATTTAGGGGTAGGTAGTACTTAGTTATTACCCAGTTATTGTAATTGTATAATAAGTACATAGCATGTACATGTGGAACAGGACTGTAAAATAAAGTGCTACCCAAAAAAACAAAATAAAAGTACACATATTCAAACTGGTGCAACACACAAAAAACTAATGACGTCAAACTTGATGGTACTCGTCAGCGTATCGGTTTTGGTTCTGAATGTGAATGCAGGTCTACGAATTCCCTATAGTACGGTGGCCGAGAAGTGCTAAACAAATCACAATTCTGAAAACAAAATAACAAATTACAAATGCAAATGCAAGTATAAAAAACAAAATAACAATTCAGAAAGCACAACAACAATTCAGAAAACATTATAACAAGTCAGAAAACACAATGACAAATAATCCTGCTATTTTAACATAATGTAAATAGGTATTTGCACTTAGCTGTATTTTTAGCAATATGCTATTTACACTATTTTCACTTAGTGTAAATAGAATCCATTGCTAATACGAGATTTGAAAAGAGAGGAAAAAAAAGTTCGGCAAAAGGCGGGATCGAACCCGGGTCGAATTGTGATTTGTTTTGCACTTCTCGGCCACCGTACTATAGAGACAGGGTGATGGAAAAAAAATGGATCGGAGAAATCTTTATATTACAGTTGCTTTGCGTTCGCTCTCAAAACTTTTGTCTTCCATCGAGATCGTGAAAGTTTCTCAGGGGCACACAATTTCATTACTGTCGGATCCAATATAGTCGGCACAGCATCGTCTTTTAGTTTCAGTCTTTCTGAAAATCCTGTGTCAAATTGTGCCTTGTTTGTTAACAAGTGGTAAAATGAAGTAAAAAAAATGGACAAAGTTCCTACTGACGCGGTCTGGAACTTTATTAAAAATAAAGTTCATCAAATAAAGTTTATCATTTGGTTTCTACGTAGATCTACATTTGCCACCCTCATAATTTACACTATGTGTGTGAATCGGTGGGCGGGGCTAAACAGGCAGCGATGTAGAAGCAGGCGTTGATCTTCTTCTGCAGAGGCGGTGTTTAGCCACACTATTACATCATAAAGTGGCACATTCCACAACCTGTCGTTTTGGCAGATTGGGCTTAATATAAGCTGTTTCTAGACTAATGAGAAAATTTTGATTTCTGAAACTTGCAGAATGTTTTTATAGCACAATGACCTCTTAAATGTCAAAAGGTCAAGGGATTCATGACACCGTTAAACATGGTCGTTGTTGTACAGGGCAAAAAAACAAAACAAACACTGCTTAAAGATTCACCCAAAATCATCCTTTTGTCAGCACCAAAAACCTTGTGGGCAGTACACGGACACTTCAGACACTTCAGGCATCCTGAGTTCGAGTACTTTCCCAGATGCCATCCCCCTCTCTTTCTCACATTTCACTTCCTGTCCACCTACTGTCATATCGAAATAAAGGCATAAAACTTTAAAAATAAAATGCAAAAAAAAAAGAAATCATCTTTTGTGTTCCACTGAAAAATAACAACATAGGCTACAGGTTTGGAAATGGCAAGTATAAAGAATGATTTTTGTAAAATTTTCTTTAAATTAGTTTGAAGTTGTATGTATTTGGTCAGTCATTACATTATGTGTGTGTGTGTGTCCAAGACAGGACTGAGAGAGTCAGCGGGTTTTGGATCAGAGAGCGCAGGGATGCACTGCGCCAGATGCCTCTGAGTGTGTGTGTGTGTGCGTGTGTGTCTGTCTCTGTGCCAGCTGGTTCAAAGGAAAACGAACACGTCTCGCCTTCTAAGAGTCTTAATAATACATTCTCACTCACACAGATATCTTACGCTACTCCAGGCTTAAATTGACCTTTTTAAATGTGCTATTGCTGCAATTATGGGCATGAGTAGCCCTGTAAATCGCTCTCTCACTCACACCGTCTCTGTCTCTCTCGCTCTCTCTTCGTCTTTCAGAGAGCAACCGGTCAGTCTTGCTGAAGGATATGCAGCGTAAACTCATAATTATGATGTATAAGTAATATAAAGCACACCATCACATAAACTCAAACACGCACCCAACTCTTTATCTTCATTGTCCTCACAGATATACCATACAAAGATTAGATATGGAACTATTATGATATGATATGCGTGTTATTGTCCCCTGATGAACTGATACAGATGTGTTTAGCAAATATAAGGCAGCTCGTGCTGAGAAAAGTTTTGCAGAGAATACCAGACCCCTGCAGTAAGTGATACTTTGTTTAAAATGGGTCTAATATAATTTTTTTTTTTTAAATGTAATTTAATTTTTTTGCCCTGAGGTCCACATAATGCTAATCAATTTTTACACTCTAAAAAGCACCCATAATTTTATTTTTCATGATTTATGTACAGTTCTTTTTGCATGTGAGATAAGCAATTGATTTCCTCATTGATTTTGGAAAGGTTTGAGTTGTTTTCTGTAGCTTAGCTACATAAATGGTTTCTTTGGTCTGAGATGTACTGGAAAGTTTTGAATTCTGAAAGTTACAGGATGTTTTAATAGTTTTCACTTTATTTTAAAAGATAAAAGATTTCTCATGAGTGCACAAGCAAGTCTTTAGTTAGAGACAAGCCTTATTCCTCTTCATTTTCTTCTACAGAACCATTTTGCCAAAGATGTGCAGGAAATAAGAGGATTGTGGCAGGTTTCAGGTTTTGTTTTTTGAATGGATCTGGGCTGGTGACCCAAAACTCAAGGGCCTAAACTTGGGTTGCGAAGACCCATGCACTATTTGAGAACAGGTTGACGATCCCTGCAGCTAATGTATTGCGTAAGTGACTGTTGACAGACCGAGCCATGGGAATATTTCCGTCTCTCTCAGTGAGCAAAGCTGAAGCCCTTATTTTGCTCTGTAAACCCAAATGACTCTCAGGGGACTAAACCGTCTCAGAGCAACTCCCACGACCTCTGACCTCCTACATCCACACACGCAGCAAATCAGAAGAAAAGAGGTGAAGTCAAGCAGGACTGTATGTTAGACTGCCAGTGTTGTTTTTTAATGTCTTATCCAATCACATTGTAAAACACTGAGGGAATATGAGGACAGGACATCAAAATGAATCCATAATTAAATCTAATACAATAGATTCATATTTTTCAATGTAATTGTTAGCTGTTCTGTGTGTGTGTGTGTGTGTGTGTGTGTGTGTGTGTGTGTGTGTGTGTGTGTATGTGTGCGTATCTGTGTGTTTGTATAGTGGATTGCTGTGGTGTTGATTGCACTGATGACCGAGGTCTCTTGTCAGTAATTGAGCTTAATTAATTTAAGAGCCTCTGATTGATTCCAGATCTCAGAGTTTAGTCTAAAGTAAAGTAGGTGATAACAGCATCATTTAACCCTGTTTTTAAAGCAGTTGATTTATAATGTGGTTCCACATAAACAAAACACCTGTTTAATGAGTAATTCACCCCCAAAAGAATATTATTTACTCACCCTCATGTTGTTTCAGATTCATACGCTGCTGCTTTTTCTGCTGAACACAAAAATAGTTTAAAATTATCTATAAGTAATTGTTATTTATTATATTAGAACCACATATGTTATATTTAAAATTATATGTATTTGTCACAATTAATTATATATTTTTAAAATCTATTTGTTAATGTCAATTGTGAAATTTGTACATAGTAACACATTTATTGGACCAGACACAGTCCTTAACTAGCTACATTTGCTTATGAATGTGTTGCTTTGTGCTAGAATTGTAGTGACTAACGTAATTCAAATTTAAACAAAATTTGGATTAATGTACCATTGTTTAAGACGCATGATTTTTCCTCATCTGAATTATGCCGTTTTTATTTTGAGTGCAGTTCTGCAGTGAATTCTGTACCATCTACATGCATTAAAGTACTAAATTGACTAGTTACTTAAAAATAAGGCTTATCACAGTGTTCATTTCAATATCCTCTCCAAAAAGGAAATTGGCAACAGAATTTTTTGTATGTGTAATAAAACCCTCAGCTACAGTGTGATATTATGGTAATTTCCAAGTTAATGGTCTCCCTTTTGTGTAAATCAACTATTTTAATCTTTAATCTTAAGATACAGTCTCTAGGACTGTATCTTACCTGCTGAAAATTTGACTTTTTTTTGGTTTCCCATTGAATGTGTAATGGTCAGAATGTCATTTATAAACATTTATAAACTGTTGTCTCTTTAAAGGCATTTATCAAGAATAAAAACACATTCAATGTGATACATTGACTTATGGAAAGAAGATATCAGTTATTATAGTCTCTTATATTATTAATCTTATTTTTATATTATTATAGCTACTTTGTCTATTTAGTGATTTAATCTGCCACAAGAATATCATATATTTTAATGTATTTGAATGTTTTCGTTTGAGGATTTTTTTCAGCAACTACTGATATGCAGTCAATTTGATTAATCATGCAATTATTTTATTCCATTTTTTAAATCAATTGACAGCTAGTTAAAACAAATCAGGTCTGATATCCCTTTTCGTCGTGTGGAGATGAATGTCTGTGTTGTGATCCTCACAGGAAAGTTGTGAGACAGTCAGCAAAGACTTTGAAATTCATCTGGCATTTACAGACGCAGCATTTCTGCTCTATAATCCACTCGAACGCGGTGTCTCTGGTGCACCGACATTCTGTGTGTTTGTGTGTGTGGTATCTGTTCTTTTCTGATAGGCCTGATCTGTAATAAAATGTCATCCAGACAAATGGCTCAGTACATTTTCTGATGTTGGTTCAGAGCTTCGAGCAGCTTTATGCTTAAAGATATTAGAGCTGATGCAATTAGAGAACTAATATCCTCTTTGTCTCTGTTTTGTCTGTCTAGGAACGGGTGGAGTATCTCTTTCTGATCATTTTTACAGTGGAAGCATTTCTGAAAGTTATTGCGTACGGGCTGCTGTGTCACCCTAATGCGTACCTGCGGAACGGCTGGAACTTGTTGGATTTCATCATCGTGGTGGTTGGGTGAGTACAAGCTCCCGGTGTAACCTGCAGTAACCCCTGAGACATAGGAACATGTGCCCTAATCCTATCCCTAACCATATAGTAAGTACATGTAGTTAATTAATATTAATCAGTACTTAAAATAATAACAACTGTAACAAGGACAGCTTAAAATAAAGTGTAACCAGAAGTGTTATGGAATGTAATGTTTTAAATATGAAATTATGTTCATGAAAGATAGAATGATTTATTCAATTCTAAATATATAAAATAAAAACAAATTATAAAAAATAAAAATGAACTTTCTCTAAAAAGACTTATCTAAAGAGGCTAAAATATATAATTTATTCATTAGTCTTTATTTTATTTTATTTGTATTAAATAATTAGTATAACTAATTGCTAAAGAGGCTAGAATATTTTATTTTATTATGTTATTTTCAAATATAATTTAAATGTGCATGGTATTGGTAGGTATGGTATGTAAATGTTACATGGTAGTGTTTCAAAATAGTGTTAACTTTAAAAAGAAATGAATTGTAAATTACAAAAACAAAAAAAAAAAACTATGTTTAAAAGCATTTTTTCCCATGATTTGCATTTGCTGCATTCAGGGAAAAGTCAAGACTGCTTAGTTAAAATATGTTTTAACCTGAAATGTAAAATGATAATGAGTCAATAACGTCCTCTTTCTATCTCTCTTTCAGGCTCTTCAGTGCAATATTAGAGCAGGCCACTAAAGGGGATGGTGGGACTTCAATGGGAGGCAAGGCTGCAGGGTTTGATGTAAAAGCCCTGCGAGCCTTTAGAGTGTTGAGACCTCTGAGACTCGTATCTGGAGTACCTAGTGAGTACACACACACACACACACACGCACGCTCATCTGATGACTGTTGAGTAAGTCGTCCATGAGTCAGGACCGAGAAACTGAGAGAACACGAATTTAAATAAATTTCCTTCCTGTAGGAGGATCTGAAACGATTCGAGAATCAGTAATCACAACCCAGAAATCCAGAAGTCAAAACTCTATTAAGCCATTCTTATCAGCATGTGTAGGCACAGATTTTATTGTTGTGTTGGCAAAACCATTTTCTTTCTGATTGTCAAATATTTTTTCATCACCTAAGTATAATGACTTTTAAACTGTATACTGTAATTGACCTTCTTTTTTCAGCTGTTTTGGCTTCACAATGGGATCATGATTAGCTGACTGCACATTATCATTTTATTATCGATAATATTCCGAGTATAAACAGTTAGAATATAAATGCTTCACTCACAAAACAAAGAAAACCATCCATGAGAAAAGTGATTATCTACTGTATTTTTCAGATTCCTTTCCTGTGTGCTTGCAGGTTTACAGGTGGTGCTGAACTCCATCATTAAAGCCATGGTTCCCCTCCTGCACATCGCTCTGCTCGTTCTGTTCGTCATCATCATTTATGCCATCATTGGCCTCGAGCTCTTCATGGGCAAGATGCACAGAACCTGTTTTTTCTTCAAAGATGGACACAAAGGTCAGGATTTTAGGAGTATTTGTTCCTTCCTTGTTCTAGTCATTGGCTCCAGATCAACTGACAGAATCCTGTTTTCTTTCAGGTCCTATATCTGAATTGAAGCCGGCCCCCTGCGCCCCAAACTCTGCCCATGGACGACATTGCACCCCGGCCAACATAACACAGTGCATGATGGGATGGGAGGGCCCAAATGATGGAATCACGAATTTTGATAACTTTGCATTTGCCATGCTGACTGTGTTTCAGTGCATCACGATGGAGGGCTGGACTGACGTCCTTTACTGGGTGAGTCTGCTCCAATAACGGTACACTACACCTAATGACTGTATAAGCACACATGAATGAGGTAGGGTTAGGAGTATCTCCCAGTGTCTTTAGTTAAAAAGAGGAACCCTATTGGAATTTTTTTCCTAATTTGGAACAAATCCTGTAATCCTGAACTGTAAAAATCAAAAAAGAATTTAAAAAATGTTGTGAGAATTTCAGATTATTTAATAGGATCTTCATTCTTAGTTCCAAACTAAAATGGAAATTCTATTAGGAATCCACATCCACTTTTGCGATTTTTATTTATTTATTTATTTTGTTTATATGTATTTTTATGACTAGGTGAGTGGTGTGTATGTTACGGCTCATAACACAATACGTACGAGTCACTGGCCCAGGCCAGTGCTGCGTTGCCACTGAAAATTTGACATTCATTAATTTTGTACATCCATTTTTATACCTTGCAAACTTAAACCTTTGGATTTTTGTGATATGTTTTACATTGAAAATATTCTGCTGATTCTTTACTGTGATAATGTTTTTAATTTGCAGAAATTACTTGTAAAACATCAGTAAAAAGTAGGGCTGTCAAGTGATT